CCTGCATGCAGGGTATTCCCTGAGAACTAGCCTCTAGGGACCTGAAGGCAGGATCCGTCAGCTGGGTTTTATGTCTCCACTGTTGATTCCCAGTTTGTGGAGTTTCCTGGGAGTCTTCCCCAGCCAGGCTGAGTTGGCTCTCCAGCTCCCTGGGTGAGACCAGTCACCGCATGGTCAGCTCTGCTCTAGCAGCGAGTTTAGGGCTGCTGCCTGCTGTGTGGGTCTGAATGCTGGGCTAGGAGGTTATAGTTTGAATTTTGGTGCAGTTGTGTGGCCTGCACTTTGAGCCCTGTACCCCTTCACGGTGAAGGGAAATTCTGGGACCAAGGCAGCCTGGTTCCTGCCTGAAGAGGATCCCTGCGAGAAGAGAGCAGCCCCTTTGCAGTGACTGAGTCATCTCTCAACCTGAGGCTCATTCATGGAGTGTGCGAGTGCACCAATTTTTAGTTAGTCAGTCAGGGAATTTGTTTGGGGATTTTATTACCTGAAGCATATTAAACCTGTGGAGGGATTTGCTGCCTTCTCCCATTTGTGAGTCCTTTGGGCTGTACTGGACATAGTCAGCCCCACTGCTAAACCACTGCAGAGAAGTATTTTGTGGTCAACAGTCATCAAGGGCCCCAACAAAGTACGCGTACCAACGGGACAGTGATCTTATGGTTGCTGGGCACCGGTGACCCTAAAAATAGTGTTTTACCATGTTCTATTTGTCTCCTGTTTAATATAATTGTGTTTATTATAGTGTATGTGTTTGTGCTATTTTCTGGGAGTCTCCAACTATCTGGCAAATACGTGGGGATTACCCTGGGCTAGAATTTTCCTCCCAAGCTGCCCTGGTGACCCTGCCAGGAAGGAGTGAGGGGGGTGGAGGCACCACCAAATAAATCCATCAGAAAAAATAAAGTTGAGTGGGTGGCGGGATCCAGAAGAACCCAGACCTATCCATCAAAACCTGTAAGGAGATTGGCTTTAAAGAAGGTAACCAGGTCGAGAGGGGGTGCTACACACCTGTTAAAAAAGATCGTAGCACTTTTGCAAGAAGCCCTCTCTTACCACGTCGTACTGTAAATTTCTTTGCGCAAGAGCAAGCGGGCAGTGTGGACGCTCTGCGGATTCTTGTGCAAGAACTGCCGTACTTGCGCAAGAAGCTGCGAGTGTAGACATAGCCCAGAAGTCCCAGGTTCAGTTCTGCATGTTGGCATTACACGAGCATTCACTAAAGTAGTGATAACTCTTATGTGGAGCAGAAATGTGGTTATTATAAACAGCTGAGGAGAGGAATCTAAACAGTTTTCAGTCTCACAAGTTAAGGTATATCCTTAACATCCAATGGTTGTTTTTGTCATAAACGAGATTCTTAGAAGGTCTGGCACATTGTAGCCTTGCACCAGTTGAGAACAAGAGCATCACAATGGTGGGATCATGTCCAACAAACAAAAGAAGGTAAACTTTTACATAAGGTTTATCAAACTGACATAAAAGGAAGTAGACCACAAGACCAACCACAAATGAGCATAGATGGAAACCTAAGAAACCTAAATCCTCCCATACTGACTATTACTGGAGGCTGGAGATGTGTAAAGGGCCAAACAAGACAAAAGTCCCTTCTACACACCACCAGAGATACTTCATAGCCATATGAATCTGCTGCTGCTGCTGCCACAGGGCTTGGACAGTTGAAACAGTACTTTTGGTATTATTGTATAATTGTTATGTCTTTGGTGCCTTTATATTTGTACAGTTTAACCAAGGTACGTTCCCCAGTTCACTAATCCAAATACTTATTGCTCATTTATTAATCTTTAATGTTGGTACATTCAAAGCATCACACCTTTGGTCAAGATTATACTTTTCTGAACGTTATAGGCTATCATTTGTATTATGTTCTGGACGCAGTCTTGCTCCCATAGAAGTCAATGGGAGCAAACTGACCTTTGTTTGTTGATTTTATTAACTTTCCAAGGTAATTACCCATCTAAATCCCATTTTTAGGCTCCATAATTAAAGAGTTACTGGAGCAAGAGGACGGGACTCCAGGGTTGCTTGACTCCCAACAGTCTATTGGCCTTCTCACTCTCTCTCCCTTTATTCAAGTGACACTTTAATTATACACAGTGGAACAGTTTCAGCAGCAGAAACTGAGGGAGCCTGTCATGGGGCGGCCACATCACCAGGGTGCCTCCAGCCAGTAACCCTGGGATTTAGCTCGTCGACCCACCTTTTTTTTATAGGAGGGCCCCGTCCAATAGCCTCTCCCGAAGCAACCCAAAGGATGAGATCCAATGTTCACCCCCCCTTTCCTGGCCGTTCAGTCCAACGTTCCTCCCCGTGTCCCACAAGTCAAAGTCTATAGTTTGCCCTCTGAGGTTAGGACAACCCAGTTCACTAGTTCCGGTGTAACCCAAAGTTAGTAGTCTGCTAGGGTATGTCTACACTAGCTCATTAATTCAAGCTCGGTAGGCAAATCAGGCAACCGGAGTTGCAAATGAAGCCCGGGACTTAAATATCCTGGGCTTTATTTGCATGTTCCTGCCCGGCCGCCATTTTTAAATCCCCTTAGTTCGAACTGACTGCCCACAGCTACACATGGCAGTTTAAAGTTAATCCAAACTAAATTCTTAGTTCGGATTAACTTTAAACTGCTGTGTGTAGCCGCGGGCAGTTCATTCGAACTAAGGGGATTTAAAAATGGTGGCCGGACGGGAACATGCAAATAAAGCCCAGGATATTTAAATCCCGGGCTTTATTTGCAACTCCAGTTGCTTTATTTGCCTACCTAGCTCAAATTAACGAGCTAGTGTAGACATACCCTTAAAGAGTTAGTCGGTAAGCACGAAGTACATATCTCCCCAATCAGGGCCAGCCCAAGCCCTTTTGGCACCCCGGGCCGGGGCATGCGCGCCGCCCCCGGCACACGGCACATGTGCGGGCCTGGCCCCGGGGTGCATGGCACATGCACAGGCCGGCCACAGCTGCTGGTGCGTAGCCCAGGGCCCGCCCCCGGGGCGCACACCATTTGCACTGCCCAGCCCGGCTCAGCCAGTGCTGCTGGCACACGCGCCAGGCCATACAGGGCCCCACGGCCATGGGGGAAAGGGCGCTGATGTTGGTGCCACGGGGCTGGTGCTGCAGGAGCCGGGTGCACAGCGTCCCTTGCAGCTGCCATCAGGAGCCCCCCATAGGTTTGCGCCCCAGGCAGCTGCCCAGGTAGACCATGCCTCAGTCCGGCCCTGCCCCCAGCAAAGGGGTCTAGGCCCTCCCATACAACTGGACCCCAGCCCGGGGCCCGTTAGTGGCTTGCTCACACCACGGAATCAGTGGGGAATCCAGACCACAACACGCTGACCCTGGTGGCCTGCTCACGCCCCTATGTCAATGGGGACTCCAGACCACACCATGCACACCCTTCCAGCGGCTGATTCACCCCAGTTGCCATTGCCGCTCTGGGGCTGCTTCCTGCCTCACTGGTAGGCCTCAGTTTCACCACACCCCTCTGTGCTTTGGGTACTGCTCCTTTCTCCCGAACCCAGTGAGGTCTCAAGAGACATCCCATCCTCAGTTTGTGCAGTAGCATCCTGGCCTCTAGGTAAGCACTGGGGCTAGGAGGCTTGGCACGTCCTCTCCCTCCAGCCACCAGCCCCAAATAAGCTGAGCTGTTCTCTTTTATATTAGAGCAGCCTGAGCATGACCAGTAAGCTAAAGGGGCTGTATGACCTCTTTCACCCTCAGGGCTGAGTTAATCCCCTCCTGACCAGTGCAGAGTGGGTATGCCCCATCATAGAACCTGACATTTGAGTGTCTGATATCACAATGGTTACAGTGCTCTCCTGAGAGCTGGGGGAATTCTGTTCAAATCCTTTCTCCCTGTCAGCCAGAGGCAGGAATTGAACCTGGGTCTCCTGCCTCTCAAATGAGTGTTGTAATACTGAAATTAAAGTTATAAAGTGGACTCTACTTTTACCACCTCTCCCCAATTTACATCGTTCATGCGAGAACTTGAATTGATTTCCAAGGCCTTCAGACGAGGCCTCTATAAAATAAGATTTCTTCTGTGGAATAATCTAGTAAACTAGAAAATAAAAGTGTCAGAACTACAATATAAGTTTAAAGATGCTTATTGGTATCATTTTTAAATGTAATTCATCGCTCTCCTGGAAAAAATAAGAGTATGGGTTGGAATTTTAAGGCTTGGAATATCCTGGGTTAACTGAAAATTCTGTAACTTATTTTTATAATTTTGTGTTCATTTATAGTTGAACGAACTATGATTATTTCTGGAGCACTCAAAATCTGATTCACAATTCTGTTTACATCTTATAATCGACTACAGAAGTTGGAATTGTACTGAAGACAACGGCATCAGCTTGACACAAAGTCAAGAATAATTTCTGACTGGCAAGGATTTCTTGGTAGTCTATGATCTGTTGAAAGTGCTGAAGGGTTTAAGAAAAATTAAGGGCCCTTAAACCAAATCATAATTAACAAATATTTCCTAGTTGAACTGGAGATCAATACCGTTATTGTTCATGAATGTACAAATAGAGGGGGGAAAGCCAATTATTTTTTCATGTATTGAAGATGGAAAAGAGGTGAATTGCTTACATATGGTTATACTGCATATAGTAAACATATTTTTCAGCTATTAAAGGTCACTATGGTAATGGTTAACATAATCATTTTAGCACTGAATAAGGATTACTAACTATGATTTTAATATTGTATTTCAATTATTAATAAATATAAAAAGTAACATTAAAGTTTAATTAAAGATAGGTCACAGCTAAGAAAACAAGAAATTCACCCATTCTGTATCAAAGTCAATAGACATTGGGAACATTGATTATCACAGATTGAAACAAAAGATGTATTAATTTTTCTATTCGGTATCAGAGTACTTAAAGAGCAAATATGCTGGCCCTCTGGCTTTATGCTGTACATTGCACAGAAAGTATTTAAAATGAGACCTAGAAGTTCATTTAACTTGTTTTCCGTCTACTTACCCTGTTTTGATTGCTGATGTTGAAGACATGATGGTGGCAGAACTTCAGTGTCAAAATTGACACTGCCGTATTCACATCATTGCAAAGATCCAGAGATCTGCCTCAGACACGTTGCTACAGTACGAGATCAGTGAACTGGAAAAGGGGCTCATAGTCTAAACCAAGGAACAACATTCACATGTTACAGCAAAGGTCAGGCCTGCTGAAGAGGTGAAATGTATTTACTGCTTCAATGAGCTGAGTAAAATTTACTGGAGTTGACTGAGTAAATGGTTTCTGAAAAATGTATGTTTGAACAAACTGTTTACCCTTGCACATTGCCTCTTCTATTTCCTCTGACTATAAAATTCAAAGATACAAAGTTCAACAGAACCAAACAATTTTAGAAGTCTGGCTGCATGAGACTAAGATACCATTTTCTAGAGCCAGAGTTTGTCTCAGAATCTATTCTGACTGCAGTGACATACAGTTTGGTACAATTTGTGTCTGCACTTCCACTTCTAATCATCTATTTTCAGAATATAAAAATGTTAACTATGAAATTTATCTGGCTCCAGCTTCCCATGCTGGAAGATCCATTAAGTTTCCCGTGCTAACATCTGTGTAAATTAAAAAATAGATTATAGCTAAGGAAACAGGAAATTTACACATTTCAATAAGGCAAGTGAAGACTCAGAGCTATGCATATTGACTTCTGCATGAAACCAGCCAAATCTGATAATTTTACTCCATTTGCTTGAAGTTTCAAGACTTATTTAAATTCTAAAACTCAGAGGAAAACCTCTGGTGTGCAACTCCCTATTGTATATGAACCCTTCCAAATTAAAATGCTGAGATTCCCATAACACTAGTAAATAGTAGGTTTAAAAAAAGAGAATCATGAGGGAGGCTCAGAGATCCATAAAGCACATGGAGGACACAATGCAGAAATATCTATAGATCAAACTTGATATGTAAAATCACAGCCCATAATTACTAATGCTTTTAGAAGCAATTCCCACTCACTTATACTATCAGGCCATGAGTAAACATGGGATAGTCTAGTAGGTTATGCAGTGATAGAGGAGGACAGGTTCTTCCCCTTTCCCCTGCAAGCCATACGTAATGATTCAGCAAAGACACAGCCTGTGTCAATGCAGATGGAGTTAGAGTCAAAGGACTGCTCACATGGAAAATGGAAGGGAAACAACAAGACCACACAAGAGTCATTAAGAAATCATAAGGACAGCAAAAGTACACTGAATAGGGAATAAGACATGTTTTTATAAATATATCAAAGGAAAAAGAAGCACTAAAATAACAGTATGTTGGGTAGTAAATGAGAAGAATGAAATCAATAATGAAATGACTTTAAAGCATCCAAGATACTGAATTCCTTTTACAAATCCATCTCCACATCTTCAAAAAACAAACTATAGAGAAGCAGCTTGAATTATAAGAAAGGAGCATTCTGTAAATGAATTTTAATTAAAAAAGGGAATCCTTAGAAACGTAGTACACGTGCAAATCAGCTGATTCATCTTTTGACAAAGACAAAAGAAAAGGGACCCAAGAAGGGTAGAAAAGTAAATGGAGTATCAAATGCTCAAATTATGAAAGAAAAATAACTCTTGCACTTACAAGTCTAACGTGTATCCTTAGGAAAAATGAAACAAATATGAAAGATGGGTTAAAAATCAACCATATGGAGTGTAATGGAACCAAGAGCAATAAGCTGCATAGCTTCATAAAGAGTAAATCTTTCTAGACAAAAAATGTATAATTAATAGAAAAACAAAACTAATGGCTGAAGAAAATGCAGTGGAAATCTGACTTTTGAATTTTGGCTGCATTTGCTACTTCATTTCAGAACAACATGTCTGAAAAGTGACTCTGTTCTGTGGTGTTTAATTGAGTAAATAAAAGCAAAGCTGAACTTAATGATCTTGGAGTGGAGTAAATTGTGTATTAACAGAAAGTGTAGATTATACTAAATTGGAAGGATCACTAAGTCAAAAGAGAGCAAGAAAGGGATCTTGAGAGATTAAGGACATGGGCAAACAATAAAATTAGAAACTATTTGAAAAAATTTTAGTTAATAAACCTTTGAGTGGAGGAATGGAATAAATTGCTGTGTATAATCTATACTAAAAATAAAATCTTGGTCTCTCTAAGTCAATGCAAATTTTACCATTGACTTTACGGAGACAGCATTCAACTCCATATATCTGGGAAGTATTTATATTGAGGGAGTGCTAGCACAAAATGAACTGGCCATGACTTTGTAATGTCGCACAAAATACATACACATACATGCAGTTTTGGGCTGCATATGGAAAGATGTGTCAGAGTAGCAGACTAAGGAAATATTAAACTTTCTTACACTCTCTGTAATATATTATGGCTCCTATGCACCACAATACCAGAAGAATACTGATAAAGTGCAGAGAGGTTAGAGAATGGGAAAGTGGTTTGGGGTCTAGAATACTTCATGTAAGGAACATGTTAAAGAGCTCACTATGTATGCTGTTGTTCTGGAAAGCAATGACTAAAAGGGGGACTGTAATGGAATCCAGGTACCCCACACTAAGCTTAAATAGGAGGGTGGGAGAGCCTCTCCTGTCTTCAGGCAAGCAGACCAATCATGCTCAGCCTCAGCTGCCAGACATGCAGACAGACACTCAGCTGTGCCCATTGGAGGAAACAATACAGGCTATA